GACACATGCAGTGAAAAAACCGATACACCACGTGGTACACATCTAGGCTGTAGTGTATGCCCAATGTAGGGATTTATTTTATTCGATCTCGATATATTTGCGAATCTTAGTCTAAGAGTGCCATTTCCGGCAATCTAGGGGTAGGCCTACCATTATTATAAATTTTCTTGCCTCAGCCCAACCATGGTGGAGCTGAGGTGGTATGAACCCTCCATGTGAAAATGCCTCCCTAACCCTCCCCTCGTTTCCTGAGTCTGTCAATGAAAACTCGTTTAATACTGTTGATACTACATCTTCAGAATCAGACATCAAATTACCAAAAATGCCTGAGCGCGAGGGGGCTCCACCACCCAATTAACCGCAGTAAGAATCCGCGCCCCCTCCCCCCACCCACCAGACTGTTTGGTCCACTCTCCACAAATTCGCACCCACCCAATAGAAATCCCACGTACGGGCTTGGTTAATTTAAAAACGTCTCGGGTGGTTTATTGTGAGAATGGCAACGCACCCCCAAATGTTGTCATAATTGTTTGTTTCAATGCTGATGGCCAAGCTCCTGGCCTACAACATCGGGCCCCGACCAGGGCTGATGAAAGTCATATGATAGTCCCTCACTTGAATGGATGTTATATATCATCATCAGTCAGTTACAACTACAGAGATAAAATCGATTGAATACTGTTTGAATACGGACAATTGGATGCTGTCTCCACTTTATTTCTTGCAAAAAATAAGAAAGGTAAAGCTTTGCCTATTTACAAAAACAGCTAGGTGACGGTGATTGGAAAGGCGCTGTTGTTCAATGTTCACTTCAACCTTATTTTAGACCTACAATCAATTGAACAAATATTTATTGCAATCTACTTTATCTAGCAAGTTATACATAGTGATTTTTGTTTCATATTTGGTTCTATAGTAACAGAGATGTCCAAAAAGTGAGGGGGACGAAAGTTGGGACGATCGAGATAACACTACCCTGTCCTACCGGTGGTCCGGTGGCATGCCCACGCGAAATTGTTGTGCTCTAGACGCCCGAAAATAGCCTCTGAGGCGTTTTGGCGATCAATTTTTTTACCATCCTGCGGTACTACTTCATTGATCGAATGTTGAATATAATAAAAATTCAATTAGTCACTTCCAAAAACCTGGCTGCTTTTGGTCATTTATATTCCCCTCCACGCTCTATATCTTAAATCTATGACACATGTTTGTTTTCGCATTCAAATTAAGCGCCCCTCTCGAATAACCGCCCTTCGTGAACGTGAAAATTTCCTTAAGCGCCCCGTTTGAATAAGCGATTTTCTTTTTAGCAAGTCAATAATCCAATCAATCCTGGGACTGTGGTTGTTGGCCTGATTTGAGCTGTAGAGTGGAAACACATTCTTCTTCGTCAATATCAAAATGAGGATATTTCTCTTGGACAGATGAGAGCTCCGATCCCTGGACAGACAGTATATTTCCAACTTTACTCTTTTTACATATTTGTCTATGCCTAGTCCTACCCCTCTTTCTCCGACACTTTAGCACATTCTCATCTAGTTTTCAAGAAAAAATACAATGACCCTGCCATCCTGCTAATCTCAATCGACCGATGGCCAACAAGCTAACCACTAGCATCTACTATTTTGCTGTTATGTAAATATTCACGCATTCTTGTAATGAGCCATTTTCTCTGGACGATTATCTTTTCTAACCACCATTCGTGATGTCCTTATATAATCTTTTTTCATTCAAAAAGTGACTCTTGAATTTAAAAATTTTCCATAAGAACCAATCGATTTTCATCTATTTCCATAAGCGCCCCCTCAATTTCCACTCTGTCTTCATAAGCGCCCCGTTTGAATAAGCGCCCCTCAGAAGGTGCAAAAAAATATTTTAAGCGCCCGGGCGCTTATTCGCGCGAGTACGGTATTTGGTACGATAACACAACACTCCTCACACCTATATTTCTTGAGGCAAACTTAGAATGTTTAGTGGTTGTTATCTGGCTAGATAAACTGGAGGTCGTGGGTCCGATTCCCACACGAAACATTTTTTAAACATTTATTTTACTGGCCAGTAATTGGGGACGTACTGAGTATTTAAAATGTCCACTAAATAATCTTAGATAACATAGTATAATACATGACCATGCATAATTGACCCACAGCTGTATATTGCATCTTTACATTTCTTTAGTTAGACCTTTTTTTTTTATTATTCTAGTGTTATTTATACTGTAATTCTATTTCGTTCTTACAAGCCCATCAGATTGAGAGAGTCCAGTCTAAATTTTCATATTTTTTAAATCACAATTTAAAAAATGACGATACTGTTTCATACGCACTTCCCTCACTTAGAGAAATATTTTTGATATGGATTTTCTTTTTAAATGTGTTAATTGTATTTTTGGTACTATATTTTATGTTCTTTATTCCCTCTTAAGATTAATAGACCTGGCTCTGGCCTTCGTAATGACCTATTTTTGGTTCCCTTTAACAGAGTCAATTGCAATAAAAAGTGGATTTATTCATCGTCTTGCCAATTTTTTAAATAACCTTTCTCACAATTTTACGTCAGTCGATATTTTTCGCCAGAGCCTTAGTTCATTCAAAACCAGCTTATCGCAATCTTTAATCCATACCAAGTGGCTTATTTTCTGGGTGGGTTAATTCCTTTATTTGTCTTTTTCTTTGTTTTTGATTTTTCGTCTTGTTTGTGTGCTTTCTTTTTTTTCTTACCTTTGTTCTGTGTTCTGTATGTATTTTTATGTGTTTTTTCTGTTCTGTATTGTCTAGCTATGTTTTTAATTGCTCTGTTCTGTCTGTGTGTTTCTGTTGTACCTGTGTTCTGTGTTTTGTCTGTATTTGTATGTTACTTGTTTGGGTTACTTTGATATTCCTAATTCTTTTAAAGTCAGGCTCCGGAAGAAAAAACACATTGATATGTTGTAGAACTGATTTTTCTAAGACAGAAAAAAAGTAATTTGATCAAAAACTTAGCAACGGTGAATGAGATACAGATTTTTGAATATTTAAAAACTGGGGGAAAATGTGTAAAAATGTGCTGTTACGCCACTTTCACCCCCACCCCAGCTTTTAAATATTCAAATAACCTGTATTACGTTCACCGTTAACCAGTTTTTCGTCAAACAACTTTTTTTTCTGTCTTAGAAAAATCAGTTCTACAACATATCAATTTTTTCCCTCCGGAGTCTGCCAATTATTGTAACTTAGGGGTGTATTTGTCAGGAACTAGATGGCTGGAAATTACTCTCAGACTAAAAGATTGTTGCTCTTTAAATTTGAATATGAGCGAGCCCTATACAAATTTTATGTTATTAATTTGATTATTATTATTATTTATAAATATTAAAATAGTATAGGTTAGTTGGCCGCAATATACAAACTGTGCTTTGCTGTAAATGTAAATTGTAAGTGTTAAATAATATACAGGATCTGTGATATATTCAACTTGTGTAATTGTGTAACGTACATTTTATCGTATTAAAAGTCTCGTCTCTTTTTTAATATTGTATTATGGCTGTACAGTGTGTTACTTTTATGAACACACTGCAAGAGCGTGTTTGCTGTTTTAAAAGCGTCGTTTCCAAAATATAGTTATAGTAATTATATAATTAATAGTGTGCAATAGAAACAGCAAATTATTTTTAAGATTATAAAACATCACCTTTCATTCGTATTTATACAAACTGTACAAACAATTGAAATTAAGAAGAATCATTTTTTAATATTGTTTAGTGAACAACTTTTAAAGGTCGTCAGAAAAGGGCGAAAATTATTATTTTTTCTAATTTAGCTTAAATAACTTTCCGAACGCATGTAGGCGAATGAGAAAATAAAAATAAAATTTTAATGATGAACGTAAACAGTG